CATCCATCACGCGCACCTCCCTGCAGTTGGGTATGTGTTCCTGCACGCGCCGCAGCAGCACCGCCCCCCGCTCCCGCTGCTCCCGCCCCAGCGGCACGTAGGGCAGGCGGAACACGGGCTGCACCAGGCCGCACATCGCGAGCGCCGTGTTCAGCGCAATGGGGTTGGGCTCGCAGAAGAGCCACTGGATGAGCTCGTTCAGGCTGGCCGCCAGCTCAGGGTCCGCGGGGCCGTTCATGAGCTTGTCGAACAGCCCGGGGATGAGGTTCGACGTGACAGAGATCACCCCCGCCGCGCCCGCGCCGTGCCGCGCGCCGTGCGCCTCGTCGTCGTTCCCGCTCCAGCAGTTGACGCCGCGCGCCGTGTACGACGCGATGCGGTCGTTGCCGGTGCACTCCTTCATCCCCAGGAAGTTGGGGTGCGCGGCGAGCTCCATGACAATGTCATCCGGAATGTCCTGGCCGGTGCGGCCCGGGACGTTGTACACAATAGCAGGGCCCTCTGCAAGCACCGCGCTGAAGTGGGCGCGCAGGCCCGTGGTCGACGTCTTCCCGTAGTACGGGTTGATCTGCAGCGCGGCGTGCATGCCGATGGCGAACCCCTGCTCCGACGCGTGCAGCGCCTCGCTAGTGCTGTTGCTGCCCGTGTTGCCGATGACCATTATGCGGTCGCCGAACGAGTGGATTGTGTGGGCGATGAGCATGATGTGCTCGTCCCACGACATCAGGTGGCCCTCGCCGGTCGTGCCGCCGACGATGACGCCGCCGACGCCGTTCTGGATCTGCGAGTCGAGCAGCTCGTCGTACGCGCGCAGGTCAAACTTGCCGCCCGCGAGGTAGGGCGTCTTGATCTGGGTGGCGCGCCGGAGGGGGCGGCGCGCGCGAGGCGGGAGGGAAAGCATGAGCTTCGCGCTCAGGGCCGGGCAGGCCGACCTGGTTGCCGCCGGGTTGTACCGCTCATCCGGCTTGCGCTGCGACTAGGATGGCCACCGCTCGCACTGAGCAAGGAGCGTGGCCTCGAGATACCATCGGGCTTCTTCAAGTGCAAGGGTGACCAAGTACAGCGCCTGCCTCCCCCACGTGCTGCCTACTGTGCTTGCCGCTGACCGGCCACAACCGCTGACCGGCCACAACTGCCCACAACCGCTCGCCGCTCACCGCTGTAATTAGCGCCGTCTTCTTCAGCGACTTAGCGCCAGCCTCCAACTTTTGTGGCGAAGTGCTGGCAATCATCGCCTGTACGCGTGCTTGCCGGCGTCCTCGGCTGCTGCTGCTGCTGAACCGAGCGCTGCGCGGCATCGCGCCGCGCGCTGCAGCGGCGGGCTGCGTGGCGACGACCGTCAGCGCAGCGCACAAAAGAATTTGCTTGGTTGAAGAAAATAATGTCGGCGTGCTAGACAGAAAGCCGGCACTTGCAAGGAGCTCCTCAACTCGATCCGGCGGCGAGCCAGCCGGGCAGCTGAACAATAAACATAACCGTATCGTGTTGACTTATCGACCCTCTGACAGCGTTGCTGAGCCCGACTGGCTGGCGGCAGCGCGCCCAACACCCGAGATCGCGCGCCACTCACCGTGTGCACCCGTGAAGAGGTCCGCATCACCCCTTGGGACAGCTGCATGGTTGCTGGCGGCCGACGGCTGCTGTTGCCCCTCGCCCAGGTGCTGCACGCTGCACTTCACTCCTCTACGGGTGGCTGCTGCTGCGTAAACACCAATGATGCTGGAAAACCGAGCTCTTCCAGCAACGCTGACACACATATGTGGGTGTGCACATGCGGATGAAGCCGGATGCGACCATGGCCGAAGGTGGTGGGGTGCATGCTTTGTGTCACTCGGATCACCGTGACCGTCTCCGGTGGCCCGCTTTCCCGACAAAACATCTCGTATCTTAGGATGATATTGTCTTACTCCTGCAGTGATCCCGACCTTGATCGACTCGCTGCAGTCCCCGAATCAAAGAAAGCACATCGCGAGCCATCCGATCTTGCTTCACATGGCCTCGAAGAAGAAGAAGAGTGGCAAAAGCCGCGCAGGGAAGCCGCGGGACACCTCCGCGGGCGCATCGTCGTCGGCGACCGCAGCTGCTGCCACGACGCCACCCCACACGGCGCACGTCCGCGCTGCTTCGCCGCCCGCCCAGCACGTGTCAGATGCAGCTGATGGTGCCAAGCCCACCGCGACCGCCTCCGCCAAGGGGGTACGCCGCCTCGCCATATTTGCTGTGATAGTTGCGGCCATCGTTTGGTCGACCCATTGGCGGCGCGCACAGGAGGTGAGCAGCCGGCAGCCTGCGGGAGCCCGTGGATCACTTGCCGCCGGTGCAGTCAATGCCAGGGCCGGCCCGAATCTCGGGCGCAGTGGCCCGGGAACAAGTGTGCGGAGGCGGCGCGGCGGGGACGGGCGTGGAGGGGCTCCAAAACATGGCAAGCGCCTGGGTCCCTTGATCCTAGCCTTCCCCCCCTCCAAATCGCCACCCACCACCCCCCAGATTGATCCCGTCACAGTCGCAGTGGACCGCCTCAACGATACGCTACGCACCAGCCTGGTGCGCATGGGTCAAAACGAATTCATTGGGAGGCCGGCGCGCTGCGGTCGCTGCTCCTTGCATCACGGCCAGCAGCGTGGTTTGACCCCGGCCTGCGCCCTCGGCCGGTCATCATGTCATGTCATGCATGCACGCAAGCGTCCGAACTCTTGCACACATACACTCGTCCCACGCACACGATCGCCTGCATGCAACACGCCACAACGTGCACACATCCACACGCACCCCTCTTATCAGCCAACCCCCTTGAGCGCGTCCCCTCCTTCCCACC